GAACAAGGCCAGGTGCCTCCTATGATCAAATCATGTAGTATTTTCTAGTGGCCAAAGTGGGGTGAGAAATACCTCAAGTTGTTTTTCCAAGTTCTCCATGACCATTTCTGACCATGCAATGATGAGTTCGGTCAATTTTGTGCAGTGAGGAAGGTCCTTTTCCTTGTAGCGTGGGGAACCACCAAGGCCTGTGCAGGATTGAAACTTCATTAGGTCACAGAATGAGTTTGAGTCGACAAAATCAAAGCCCTGCATGGTGAAAGTTAGCTGAGGCAGAGTGATCAAAGAGTAACCCACAAGGTCATGTTCAATGGTTAGATTTTCAATTCTACACAATAGACCTTCCACAGACCATGATTCTTCATCCTCAGCTAGATGATAGAAATGGGTGATTCGTTTTTGGTTGTTCCTGTGAAGGCAATACATGAAGGTTGAACCTGAAATGAATTCAATTCAATCTGTGTGGCATACTTGTTTGCCGTGAAAGCTGCTTTTTGCTCTTCTTGTACAGTGCCAGGCATAGCTCTATCATCAGGTGGGATTCCAAGGGCATTACATTGCTTCAGGTAGAGCTCCCAGTGCTCTCCCCCACTACGGCTGATGTGCTTGCGAAGTGTACTTGAGCCAGAACTGGCAGCAAAGTGTGGCATCAACAGTTTTGACCGGTTCCCTTTGTCATAAGCAGATCTATAGCACATGTATGTTCATTGTTTAACAGAATAATGAATATATTGAAACTTACTTGCACACTTGGCACATGCAATAGCTTTTCTGCCCATTGTGAATAACTTCCGTGAATACTGTTTCAAGATCTTGCATCCCTCGTGCTTTCTGAGACAGCTTAACCACTTCAGCAGTGCATGCATCTTCACACACAAATGCTTCTGGATCCTCATTAGCCCCAGGTATAGGCTCCTCATCCCCGTCTCCACCTGTCTCATTTTTGGACCCAGATACAAGTGTCGGAGCCTCAGGCACTGCAATACTAGTTTGAGTTCGCTTCAACGCTTTCTTCCCCTGGCCAGACCTGCCCCGCTTCCCCAAATTATTCCCAGCTGACTCTCTGTCTGATGCTGAAGATTCCTGGGAGGATGTTGGAACATTGATGATCCCAGCCATCTTCACATGCCGTTTCAGGTTGCTAGGCTTGTTCACCTGAGCCCTATTCTTTGGCAGGGTTTGCAGAGAAGCATTGATGGCCAGGTCTCTGCTCCATGCTTCACCAAGCCGATTTTTTCTGTTACGGATACGGAGTCTCCAACGACCATATCCGTCGCATGGTCAAAGACTTCCCCTCTCTATCGCTCCTCCCCTCTTTCTCCTTTCCGTCCTCTATCCCACTACCCTATCCTCCTTACCCGTTCTACCCCTTTCCCCCCCCTCGTGCAAAGCTTTCCCCATTGGGGTTTTGGTGCTGGCCGAGGTTGTTTGTGTTTCACGGGATTTCCCGCGACCTTACCATTTGTAGATAGTCACGCGTCATGTACGGAAACCGCCGAAGGCGGTTCCCGCTAACTAACAACTGCTCTACAACTGTCTCGTGTACCGTCTTCTGTAACAACCCTCCCTGTGACTCAACTGAACCTGTGTGACTGTACAACTCTCAATATGTCTTATAAGTCTGGTTATATCGAGTCCTCTAACGGTCCTCACCGCGAGAACTCGAAGTCGAGAGTCGAAGACTCTCGACGTGTGTATCGTCCTATTGAACCTGTACCCTATGGGTCTTCATCACTCCGCTCTCCCCCCAGTACTCAACATACGACGTCCCATCACGATCATGGTGATCGTGAACACTATGAGGCCCACATACCCTCGATGCCGGCACGTTCGCTACGCGAACGCCAAGTAGCCGCCCATCCACCGTCTGTTTCTTCCTTTGCCAGTCATCATATGTCCCTGCCAACGGTACGTTCCCTTTGGGAACGCCCAGTCACTGAAGGCCCTAATAGTCAGCCCTCATTGCATGCCTACGATATCAACCCGCTACCGGTACGTTCGCACTGCGAACGCCAAGTACCCGATGGCAACTACGCGAAGCTCTCACCCATCTCACCAGTCGCGACCTCGCGCACGGTACGCTCCATTGAGGAGCGCCAAGTATCCGTGGCTGACCCATCTGTCCTGATATCTCCGACTATCAATCATCAATCCCTTAATAGCTCACTACATCACCCATCGTGATCGATGGGAATTCGATCGCCCACTCCCAGGTCAGACTGGGATCACTCATCGATTACACTTCCAGTTATGGTACAAACTAGACATGACTCTCGCCTTCCCACTATAAGAACGGATCGAGGAATGGGGAATTTCCCCCATCCCCGTAACATTTTCCCTTTGCAGCAAGTTTTTGCTGTTCGAACACTTCAATTGGATTTTCCTGAGTGATATGCTTGATAATCCATTTGGGTCTCTCAGCCATCCGAAAAGAAGCAGGCAAGTCATCATCTGGGTCATAGCCCTCAGAATTGGAGATATGGTTTGGCAGGAGGACTGAAGGACTGTAGACAAACTGGTCCGGTTTATCAGCAGCATCACGCAGTTTACCATCTTTACCCAGCATAGGATTTTCAGGGTCTGTATGCCACTCACTTTTGTTGCCACAGAGAGTTTCCATTTGCTGAAGGGAGGGTGTATAGATTTTTGTTTTTCAATTTCTCAGCCAACCCTGAATGCATTGATTTTGTAAAATTTCCATGAAAAAATTGTATGAATGTGTGCTTAACATTACATTCAATAGCTAAATCCTTTGATGGTTCTGTGGTTCAGTTCGGTTCAGAACTGGTTCACAATATCCCCCAACATTCAGAACCAGAACCAAACCATCATAGAACCAAATCAGAACCAAACCGTGGTTCGGTTCTGCTGCGGTCACCCCTAAATACAAGCATGAGATATATTTTATAATGACATTTCAGTTGGTTATTCTTGTCTCGCTTCCGCTTCTGGCAAATCTCACAAGTCCACTTCATCTGTGTTTGTCTGAGGTTAACACAGTCAAGATGATACTGTAATGGTGACACTTATATTAGCTAATTGTGGGAATAGACATGGATCATTGTGTACTGAAAGGCTGGTGTAGTTCCAGCCTTGGTGCCTCTTCAATCCCCAGGCAGTCGAGAACTAAGTTATACAGAACTTGTGTTGGAAACCACCTTGGCCTAGAAGGGGTGTTTGGTGTAATGGCAACACACCAGCTTGGACCAATGCAGAGTTCTGTGGTTTGATTCCCAGAATGTCCAAACTTTTAGGTCTCGTGACCACCCAAACTTCCAACAACTTGGTATTTTGATGTGGGTGAGGAGAAGAGTGGGGACTTCACTTGACTCTGGGCCACACATATGTAAATACATGGTTACAACAAGAAAATAACAAATGAATAAAATAGTAGGACCCCTTCCTTACATGTACCCAGCCTGTTTCACAATCTGCATAATCACAATTGATTGCACCACCATTAGCAGCCTCCTCCTTGCTTGGTATGCTGCCACAAGTACAAGTACACAGAAAGTCCACTTGAACAACCTTCTGCTTCCGGCCACATTGTGTTTCAGCAAGTTGTCAGGGCTCGGTCCTCACTCAGGGACAGCCCGGTGTCAGGGCCCAGCCCTCGTTCCGCGATGAGCCCAGGGGGATCCTCCTAGTCGCTGGGGTATCTAGTCCCAGTCCGAGATCCTCAAACTCACTGAGGGGGCTAGCCCCAGCCTTCACAGGAAATGAGTTGAGAAGAAGGGTAACCTTCTCAACCTCCTGTGAAGCCGCTACAAATGGGAGCTGGGAACTATATGTCAGGGCACACCTGCCTGACCCGGCCCCACCTGGCCCCACTTCACCCGGTACCCCACCACCCAGTCCTCTCCTACCTCCTCCCCCCTTCCTCTTTCTTTCTTTCCCCATTTCACTTCCTCTTCATTTATTTCACTTTCTCTTTATTTTCTCTTTATTCTACATGGATGACCTTTCTCTGTATCAATGTACCATTGACCCACCCGCAGCGTGCTCACGACACGCCCAGCCTGGGTGCTTTGGGCGACCCCCCACTATGTCCAGCTCGTGCGTTCACAGCGGACGCCCTCAGGATCCCCCACAGGGACACCTGGGTGACTGCAGCTGTATGCGAGGATGACATGGCACCCATCATGTGACCCAAGCCGCATGTATATAAACATACCTGAAGTGGGAACTGAAGAAGTAGCCTTCTTCTCACCCTTTTCCACTTCAGTCTGAGTGGCCAGGGACTGTCTCCTGAGCCAGGCCTGCCAGTACGCACGCCTGCTCCACACCCTGTGAGACTTCTAGTGTCAGGCATCTCACCCAGGCCTCCTCTACCCCGGATGCATCCCTGACACTATACAGTTTTCGGCTCTTTGCCAACTTTCCATAATTGGCACCCCCCATGGGAAGATTCTGGGCAAGCTGCTTGCCCAGAAAGTTCCCACGGTTGTGGCTGTGATGGTTTCTGGGTGAGTAACTTGCCCAGAACGTTCCCACGGGTCTGCATGCATGCGGGATTGTGGAATAGTGAAGGGAAAAATAGGAGAACATAGGGGAAGGGTACCTGAGGGTGTGTGGGGTCAGGGGCTGTGCTCTGACACCCAGCCTCAGGACTGGGTGTGTGTGATGTTCGGTGCCAGACCCTGTCCTTAGTGTTACGGTTAAGATGTAACACCAACAGAATTATGGACTCATTGTGGGCTCAACTTAGTTAGCACCCATCCAGTCTCGGAACAGTCCAGAGAACCAGTCCAGATTGTCATCGGTCTAGTCCAAGTTGTTGTCCATGTGTGTATATAGATAGTTGATCACTGAAGGTGGTCCCTTCAGCTGATCAACACTGGTTACTCACCTCAATCAATCTCAGTGTCTAGCCCTTGCCTCCCTTGTCTTGTTTCCTCATGATCTTGTGACCTTGTCTTTCCCTTCCATCCTAGTCTTAAACTCTGCAAGGCACATAACAGTTTGATCAGCTCCACTAACACGCAACTCCTGGATACTCCATGTCTTTTTCTGATGTGTCAATGTCAACCCCTGGCCCTAGTGCCCCTCCTGAGGACCTGGCCACATTCAATCCAGGAGTTCTATTGAATCTCCTGCAGCAACAGGTGATTCAGCACCAGGACCTGATGACTGCAATTCAAGCTCAACAGCAACACCAACAAGTTCTAATGGAAACATTTCAGATCCATCTTCAGAATGTTGCTGCTGCTCCCAATCCTGCTCCTGCTCTGGCCCCTGCTTCCATAATTACAGTGATAGCTAATCCTACTGCAAAGTTTCCCGACCCTATGGCCTTCACAGGCAAACCCTCTGGTGTCCGAGCTTATATTGCTGAGATTGAGTCCTGATTCATGCTTTTCCCAAACCAATTCAACAGTGATTTCATGAGAACCACATTTTTTGGGGCCTGGCTGAAGAATGAGACCATGTCTAAGTGGTTTATGGGGGTCACTCGCTCCAATCCTGTCAGGGCATGCTGCCGCCGCCGCCGCTGCTGCCACCTCCTTTTCCTTTTGTCTCATCCCCTCATTCTCTCTTCTTTCCTTCTTCTCTTTTTCTATCTTTATACAGATGACCTCTCTTTCTTTCCTACCCTTGTAGCACGGATGTGTCCAACGCTGAGCACCCCATAGGGGCACCGCAACGCCGGATGCGCCGCGCACTTCTACTTGTACTTCCCCTCCAACACTCGGGATCGACTGCGGAACCACCCGCAGTAACCTGGCTTCGTCCGAGGGTGACGTGGCAACCCCACGTGACCCATTCACACATGTATATAAACTAAGCCGAAGCAGGACCGAAGAAGTAACCTTCTTCTCATTTCCCGCTTCAGGCAAGTACCCTAGTTTAGTCTGGCTTCCCACCCTAATAACAATACATTTCCCGCTTCAGCCTAAGCCACACAGGGACGTAAGCCTGAGTAAGGGCTATCCACTATACGGTCTCACCGCCCTGCTGCCATCTGGGCCGCTAGCGCCGAGCGTTACGCCGCTACCTCTGCCTTCCTCGAGCCGTCCCTGACAAATCCGGCTCTGTTGCAGTCTTATGTGAATCTCAAGGCCACATTTGAGAAGCACTTCAGCAATGTTGACTATGTTGAAACAGCCCATTGAAAGCTTCATTCTCTCTGTCACATGGTTATCAAGAAGGCCACTGAAAATGCATCCTGGTTGACTGCCAACACTCAGATTATGATATCAGGTTGATCTACTTTGATGGGCTCCAAGCACAATTCAAGGATGCCTTATAGTGGATGTTCCTAATATGCTGGAGGCTCTCATAGCTAAATCAATGGAGATCAACATGTGGCTCTTCAAGATGATTGCCTGAAAGAAGACACCCAATGCGTTGAATTGGCCAGATCATGAAGCAACCATCACATCTGAACCCAAAAGCAACCCCAACTCTGGGCCAGCTCCTATGGAAATCGAGGATGAATCTTAGAATGCCTCTGTTATGAGGATGGGGAGAATTTCTCCCTTCTCAAACCATTCTTGTAGCTGGAAGATGATCGCAAGATCTTGTTTGTACCTTAATGGGACGTGTAATCAATGGGAGGTCCCAGTCATGTATGAGAGTAGATGATCGAATCCGCATTGATCATGGTTCACAATGGAATGAGGTGGGTTTGATTACAAGTAGTTGGGGATGCCAGGATAGATAGGTTGGCCATGGGTACTTGGCACTCCTCAGGGGAGTGTACCTGCACAGTTGCGACTTGTATGTTGTGTGAAGATCCCATATTGTTGCTATCGGTTACTTGGTGTTTGTAGTACGAACGTACCGGTAGTGGGTTATAATCATGAGAGCCCAGTAAGGAATGGCTAGTGGGGCCTTCAGTGACTTGGTGTTCCCAAAGGGAACGTACCGTTGGCGGTGAGGTACGATGACTGACAGGGGAGGGACCAGATGGTTGATGGGCAGCTACTTGGCACTCATGCAACAAGCATGCCGGCATCATGGGAATATGAGTCTCAGAGCAGTCATGATCCCGAATACCATAATGTGATGTTGTCCGTTGAACACTGGAGCGAGAGCTAGGCGATGATGTCCTGTAGGATACGGGTTCCAGTGAATGATATACAAGTTGTGAGGCTTCGACTTGCGACTTCAAGTCCATGCGGTGAGAACCACCAGAAGACTCGACATAACCAGGCATATAGGGCATATTGAAGGTTGTACACACACACACACGTGTTCAACTGAGTCACAGAAGGGGTTGTTACAAGAGACAATGCACAAGGTAGTTTGTAGCAAGTCGTGGTAGTTAGCAGGAACTGCCTCTGGTGGTTTCCATACATGATGCATGTGTCAGAGACCAGATCGAGACAAAGGATTTGTCTCCATGGTGGAGGGCTTTGGCCTCAGCAACTCAAGCCAGGAGCGCTGTGCCAAGTTACACGTCCATGCCCTAATTTACTTACTGGCAACAAGTGTCATATCCGTGCATACCCGACCCCGACCCGACTTCCGGACCTCCACCCTCTTCACCTCCGGAGTCATACCCTACCGCTGCCGTTCCGATACTCACCTCCGGTCCTGGCAACACACCTCCTTCTACCCCCCATGCCACCTCTGCTCCTCCTTCCCTCTCCCCTATCTCCGTCCGTTCCGATACTCACCTCGGACCGAACACCGCCCCTCTCGCCACCCTCCAACTACTCCTCCTCCTCCTACTCCGCTCCTCCTTCACAACACCTCCACCCTCCCATCACCCTCCTATGCTTCCCCCGTCCGCTCCGATACTCACCTTCGGACCTGACTCTCCTTTCCGCCTCTCATTCCCCCTTACCTTTCTCCTCTCTCCTCCCTCTGGTACTCCTCCGCCACCCTCCCGCCAAGTTACGACCTTCCACCGCTGTCCCGTACTTCATACTCGGACACCGCCTGTACCTTTGCTCCGAGCCTCCGTCATAGTCCCTACCTCGGACTTTGACTCCACCTCGGTCTTAGTCCATTGCATTGGTGACCTCATACTACGTAAACACCATTGCCAATATCCCTCGGACTTTCAACCCCGCCTCCGTAAGCTCCGTAATCTCCGCAACCCCCGAGCTTTGCGGATCGCCTTTGGCACTTTCGCTGCTTGTAATGTATCTCTCGCGTTTACCCCTCATCCCTATTTGGACTACTGCTTCTTCCCATTCTAGCCAGTTAGTCATCATCCCCACTTCTCCTCATCCTCCTGCCCCTCTGGGCCTCGCCCTCCCTACCTCTTTTCGGACGTATCACAGGTCCTGCCTTATGACCTTCGGTACCGCTCCGCTTCTTCTACCCTTTGTTCCCGTTCGGACATCTTCGTTCCGATTCGGTTACCCTTTGTTTTCCTTGTGCTTTTGCCCCCTCCATTATATATATCGGCACTTGTACATACTTGTTTTGGTTCAGTCCGAAATCGACCTGAAATGCCCCCTAGAGACTTCCTGCTCACCTACTGTGAAATTAAGGACCAAATGGACAAACAGCAATGGCACAGCGCTCCGCTTGAGTCGCTGAGGCCAAGGTCCCTCCACGCTAAGTCTCCGATTCCACTCCGGAGTCATCTGAATCTGCCCGTTCTAACAGCCTTTGCTGGCACGAGTGAGGACCTTGACTGCTTTAAGGTGGAATGTGGGATCTACTTCCACGTCCATGTGGCAGAGTTCCCTGACACTCTGTCCTAAATCCTCGTCATCTTATTGTACATGAAAGGAGGAGCTGTGGGGGCATGGGCGACAGTGCACGATCGCGTTGCTGACAGCAGGATCCCCCGTGATCACTATGGATGAGTTCATGGCAGAGCTCGATGCCATGTTCCAAGACCCCAATCGCAAAGCCACCGCCCAACAGAAGCTCGCCACCCTGTGGCAAGGTAATGACTCTGTGGATAGGATCATTCAGGAGTTCGAGATCCATGGCCCCCCCCTCACAGCTAGGTGATGTAGGACTGATAGACTGCTTTGAGCAAGCGATCAATGTGCGGCTCTGCGAGAGCATCTATCACCTGCGCCCCATGCCAAGGGCTTGGGCAGAATGGAAACGAGAAGCCACCCTTCTCGACAACCAGTGGCAGTGCTTCCAGGCGACACAACCCCGTCTCCCCCTGTTCAAACCACCCCTTCCCCCCACGAGACCGCCACCACCAGCCTCCCAACCCTTTGCATGCCCATCACCCGGACCCCCACTGCAACTCGCTGCTGCCCCTGTGGCCCCCATGACCACAGCCCCATGCCCTCCAGTCCCACCCCCCCAGCCAATGGACCTTGACTGCTCAAGGGCAGACCAGTGGCGAGGGCTGTGCCATAACTGCAATGCCCCTGGGCACTCGCATGAGACTGCCCCCACACGAAGGTTTGCCAAATATGCTGCATGCATCCAGAGGACCTTCGAGCACTTGCAGAAGGGCTGAGAAGCCAGCTAATGGGGACACCTGAGAGGGACGAAGAGGGAGAGGAGGCAGACCCCCCAGAGGATTTTCAGGAAGGCAACCGGTGAGGGATGTGTCCTGGCCACCTATGAGCAATAGTACCCAGTGTAAATACCGAGATACATGCGAATCTGCGCCATCATCCAAATTCCACCAGGTGATTGCCAAGAAACAGAGGAAAACCGCATCCTCAACCAGGAAAGATGTGAGAGCTGCTGGCCCACCATCTGAGGTGGCTGTCTCCCCACCCGCCATCTACATGCTCACCAAACAGTCCCCCTGCTCCCTCAACATGAAAGTGAAGGTGACCACATTACCATCCCTCATCGTGGTCGCCATGTCAGCACTGTGAGACTCCAGCACGACTGGAAACTTCGTAAGTCCAGACTTCGTCTGGAAGCATGGGCTCGAGACGACCCCACTCCCCCAACCCATCCCAGTGCACAATGTAGATGGGACACCCAACGAAAATGGGGCCATCACTGAAGAGCTGGAAGCCTTGCTGACTTTCAGCCAACACACAGAGCGGGCCCGCTCCACTGTGGCTAACCTGGGGCAGCAGCCCCTCATCATCGGGCATTCATGGTTGCTGCATCATAACCCAGAGGTCGACTGGTGTCAGAGACCAGATTCGAGACGAGGGAGAGTCTCCGTAGCGGAGGGCTTTGGCCTCAGCGACTTATGCCAAGAGCGCTGTGCCTAGTGACACGTCCGTGCCCTAACTTACTGACTGGCAATCAGAACCGAAGGGGGTAACTCTAGTTGATTTTATTACTGAGGTGTAACCTATGTACAAGCTGGAGATATATATGGTTACAGCAAGGATGGTCCGCAAATGGCAGAGCCGAACGGAGCGGAGCTAATGGGGTTAAACATTAGCCGACTGAATATTACCGACGAGTCGGGTCGCGGGGTTAACGGAAAGGAGGGATGGGCCCGAAG